ATTGGGAGAAACTAGTGTTTTCGGCTGGATACTTCCCTAGTTACATTATATCCTTCCGAAATACTTATTTGCAGCCCTGAAACGGGCCAGGCGAAATGAAGCCCATAAGCTAAAAACGTGCGATTGTAGGCGTAGGCCACTGAGAAAGCCCAAATCATAATGTTGCAGGAGAATGTTTTATATCAATGAATGGGACAAGGGACATAAGATAGCGGCAGCCAAAAATATAATTGCCCATTGAAAGCGTGTAATGACTCGTTTGGTTTCTAGATCAGTGGTAATTGTCAGATTAAAAGAAATAATTAAAAGAGAGAGAGAAAATAAAATATAATTAAAATATGAAAGCTGTAATATTCCTCTAATGAGCCGACCATCGTTGAAGGGGAAGACGAGTCACAGGTCAGCTACCATATCCATACCATATCATTTCAGTCAATATTTTTACACAAACGTGTTTGGTAAAAGAAGTCGTTTATGACCATAAATAGCAAAATTACTTATTGTTAACCGACCAAAATTCGGAATTTAATATTAAAAATAGTAGAATAGAATACAATGTCTTCAATCATATTAAATGTACAATCAGGAATGGCCTTCTCTTATTATATGTATTCCTCCGGTCTTTAATATAAAAAAATTTTTTAGTTAGTTTTGGTCTTAAATATAAGATCTATTTCTCATATTTATCAATTTTCTCTAAATTACCTTATGGATACTCCTCAAACCATAATCAAGTAGAACAGGGAGATATGATATTAAGAAATATTATGGTGTTTTAGGAAAAATGTGTCACTTTTCTTATAATTAACTAACTTACTTAACTTTCTTAATCTAATCAAATTAGTTAAATAGGTCTTATATTAAAAACCGAAAAAGTATATATATATATATATATATATGTGCGCAAAATCATTCCAGCTGATTTGAGTGCCAACCCAAGCCACCGGCTTCATTTTGATAATTTCATTTGATTAAACGATTTTTTATATACAAATGTGTGTATTTAAGTTTGGGAGAATTACAATGAGATACTAAAAAAGAAATATAATTACTAAAAAGTCATGATAACAACTTATAAGGATAAGTTTCAGAGTAAAAAAATAACAACTTTTAGAACTTATTTTATAATTTGTAATTATTTTTCTTACTTAAAATCTTATTGTAATTCTCTTTTTTAAATTTTATGAATTTGAATGCTCTCCCTCTCTCTTCTTTTCCATTTTTATAGGCAATAAAGTTGAAATAAGAAGCCCCCAGCAAGACGCATGTTCTTGCAATTGATATGCCTGCTAAGTGCTATCCTACTAATAGATCAACCTTATTTGGCTTCTTCTTTGTTTTTCTTCAAGGCTGATCGTGTTATTTCGTAAAATAATAAATCCAAATTGTGTAAAACCAAGTTAACCAACTCAAGCTGCTAAAAAATAATGCATTTCGCACACTGAAAGTTAAAAGCACGCGATTCACTTATAACTGTGGCCTAAAAAAAAAAAAAAAAACTCAACTGAAAAAATGATAAAGAGAAATTAGAACTTAGAAGATAAGGAAAATAATAATAATTTTGTATTAAAATATTTTTTAATTTCAAATAATTTGTATTTTGATGGCAAAAAAATACTTTATAAGTTAAAATATATTTATATCGATAACTGAGAGATTTGTTAAATTTTTTTAAAAATAAATAATTTAGATATTTTAATTAAAGAATATTTTTATATGAAAAATATATAAGGAATAATTATAATGAGGTGCAAAAAAGTTATCAATAAGTCCCAAAAAGTTATTTTTTTACTCTGAAATTTATTATTACAAGTTGTTATTAAGACTTTGTAATAATGATTTTTTTCCCTCAGATCTCATTGTAACTCTCCAAATATATATAATCAATATAATTATTATAATGAAATTATTTATCGACTATTATTTAAACATTATTGTATACCTGTTCTATTTTTTTTTTCTTCCAAAAATCATTGAGCAAAAGAAGGCATCACTCATCAGGCTGGCAGCCCCCCCGGGGTGACCCACTGACCCGGTCCCTCTTTCATTCCAAGTGGGCCCCTTTCGAGAGTTTTTTGTCTTCACTTCTCTGGTGCACGTGAGCCCCCCTTTTCCTCTCTCTCTCTCTGCGCTTTCAAACTCACCTTCCCCCTCCCACTTAACTCCACTCTCTATCACGATTCAGATCTCATTCTCATTTCCCTGATTTCACCGTTCATGATTCCTCCTTCCACTTCCATTTCCACTTACCTTCCTCTGTCTCTTCCATGTCTTCTCCTTCAACCTCTTCCTTTCCCATCTTCACTCTCTGCATCCTCCTCCTCAGCTTCCTATCGCAGCTTGCTTCTGCTCACACCTGTTCTTCACACCCACAAACGTCGTCTTCTTCTTATTCTCCTTGCCCACCTTTCACTTCGAATCCTTCTTTTCCATTCTCTTTCTCACCAGGCTGTGGCCACCCTTCCTTCCAAATTCAATGCTCTACTCCTCATTCTCTCATCTCCATTAACAACATAACTTTCTCTGTTCTTAGTTATAACCCCAATTCTTCTTCGCTTACCCTATTGCCTAATCTTGATGATGCATCAGAAGCAGCAAGTTCAGCCGCCGCCCATAGAAATTGCTCCACTCCTCGCTTACTTTCTATTCTCAATCGTTCTATTAATCTCTCTGGCTCTCCTTTCACAATCTCCGATGCTCTCTGTTCCCGACTCTCTGATATCCAACCTTGCTCGCCTCCCACTCTGCCAAACTGCAGCCACTGTCCGTGGGAATGTAGCCTCATCAAGAACCCAGCTCACCTCCTCCGTGGCTGCGGATCTGCCCGTCGCTCCGTTTCAGATTCAGACGGTCGCTGCGAAAGTGATGTTTTGGGGTATCTCGACAACATACTTGCTCGAGGGATGGAAGTCGAGTGGGATGAAGCTCAAGATCCTTACTTTTCAAGCTGCAGAAACTGCAGCGCCAACAAGGGAGTTTGTGGATTCAATTCCTCGGACCCACACAACCAATTTATGTGCCTTCTCTCCAAATCTGAATCTGGTTTTTCGCCTGGTTGGATTCGAAGGGTGAATCCCAAGCGTAACACAGTTTTGTCCCTTGTCATCCCTTTAATGTTGCTGCTTCTTTTTGTTTCTGTCGCTGCTGCAATTTTCCGCTCGAGGAGATTCAAGTCATCGAAGACAGAGGAGGACCCAACAATCCTTTTTCTTCACAACCAGCGCTCGGCTAGTCTTCTTCCTCCCGTCTTCACCTACGAGGAACTGGAGGCTGCCACTAATCGGTTCGACTCGAAACGCAAAATTGGCGATGGCGGGTTCGGGTCGGTGTACCTGGGGCAGCTCCACGATAGCAGAATCGTCGCCGTGAAGTACCTCCATAAGCACCACGCGGAGGTCGCCGCGGGACGAGCTTTTTCCACCAAGTCTTTTTGCAACGAAATTTTGATTCTATCTTCCATCGACCACCCGAATCTAGTCAAGCTTCACGGGTATTGCAGCGACCCGAGAGGATTGCTTCTAGTCTACGACTATGTCCCCAACGGAACCCTCGCGGATCATCTTCATGGCCCCAAGAGTTCATTCCAAAAAGGGTCTCTCACGTGGCAAGTGAGGCTCGATATTGCTCTACAAACAGCATTAGCCATGGAGTACCTTCACTGCTCAGTTGTGCCCCCGATAGTTCACAGAGACATCACTTCGTCCAACATCTTCGTGGAGAGGGACATGAGGATTAAAGTTGGAGACTTTGGGCTGTCTCGGCTATTGGTTTTGCAGGATTCGTCGTCGTCTTCAACTGGATATGTCTGCACCGGCCCCCAAGGCACGCCCGGATACTTGGATCCGGATTACCACCGGTCGTTCCGATTAACGGAGAAGAGTGACGTGTACAGCTTTGGGGTGGTGTTGCTGGAGCTGATTTCCGGGTTGAAGGCGGTGGATCAGAGCCGGGACAAGCGGGAAGTCGCGTTGGCCGATCTGGTGGTCTCCAGAATCCACATGGGTCAGCTGAATCAGGTAGTGGACCCCGTTTTGGCGAAGGAAGAAGTGATGGACGCCGTCGCCGCGGTGGCGGAGCTGGCGTTCCGTTGCGTGGCGGCGGACAAGGACGACCGCCCGGACTCAAAAGAAGTGGTGGAGGAGCTGAAGCGGGTACGGATCCAGACCCAGGCGGGGCTTCGATCGGCGTCGAATTCCCACGCAGGTGCTGAAGTGAGGGATTGTGGATTGTGAGATTGGATGGGCCCAAAATGCCCTGTGGTGTTTGACTATCTCAGTTCACTTTTGTCGACTAGTCAAACGGACCCCACGAGAACGATAATTCCACGTTGGACTTACTCGCACGAGGGATTTGTTTGGTTGGATGAAAGCGTCAGCGGCCCCTCCGTACGGGATTTGAGAGGTTTTAAATTTACACCAGAGCCTTCTCCAACTCCTACCTCATGTCACCTCAGAATATTTTGTGAGTAAATATCTTGTATTTCCACTCTCTGTGCTTTGGAGATCAAGCACATTTCGTCTTTGTAATATATGCCATGCTACTCTTCAAGCCCTTTTAATTTGCAAATTGTAAATTGATGGGCGAGTTTAAACCATTTTGGGAGGAGCATACAGAATGAGAGCCAGAGCAGCGGGTGACTAAGAATAAATGAAATATAATAATGAATAAACTTTGAAAATACGAACGTGAAACTCTCACCCACCATTTAGTTTCTTGCGCAAATGTTAATAAAACTCGTACAGAAGTCAGAACCTCTCACATGTTTACGTAACTCGGCCGATGCTCTTTGACCCCAAAAAAAACCCAAAAAAACTCGGCTCATGCTCATTAAAGCCCTTTGGTGTCTTGCGAGAGATATTATTATTATATTATGACACCATTACGCTGTAAAGAGAATGAGGCTGCGAAAAGTGAAGTATTGGAGTTGGTGACTGGTCAGCATTTCGTGCAGCCCCGGGCAATGCAAATTCATGGCGTGTCGACAACGCAAATAAGATATCTATCTCCATGACCTTCCCGTGATTTGCGCTAAGAAAATGACCCGACAGGGCTACCATGTGTCAAAGTCAATAAGAAACACGGCACTGCACATGCCACAAGGTTTCACAGCCTCCAAGGATGCAAAAGCTACAACTTTTTCATTCTTTTTTATAAGTTCTATGTTTGCATTACACAATAACACTCTTTTTTGCATCGACCATTGCAGTGCACTCTAGGATACCTCAGTATTCATTCAACAAGCATAGTTCATGTAAAGGAGGCGATTATTCCTTCGTTAGAAGTATGCACTCTCCAACGCCCTGGCCTTTTCGTTTGCTTTGCCGGCTTCTGGCCTGTTCGCTAGTCTGTATGCTTTCTCCTGATACAAAATTTGAAGTAACAGTAATGATTATAAGAATAATCATGGTTTTGAACAGTCATTAGCTTTTGGCTCTCTACTATAGGCAAGGCAATTGGCAAACTGTACCAGTAGGCGCCACATGAATGGAACACCTTCCCTTTTCTTGATTTGCTTCTCGATCACCTCGATTGCTGCATGTTAGTTACCATTGTTAAGCATAACTGAAAGGTTTGAACTTTTAACTTGCAGTGGAGTTCGAGACTATACCCTTCACTGTTTCTCCAGCGTTCAGTAACATCGTGTACCAAACTTGATTGAACACTTCAAGTTGTTCATCTGACGCTCCGATTATCTTTACATGACAAAGGAATTGGAATCGTCAGATGGAAAACAAAGCTAAAAAGAAGCATCAGTAAAGTCTAATCATTACAACCTTGTAATTACAGGCATCAAAATCAGAATCCAGTAACTCCAGTCCTTGCCTGTCGTTACCTCTCCCATATGCATAAAGAGCTTCTGCGAGCTGATCTAGAAAGTATCAATAGAAGGGAGTTTCAACTGTAAAAGAATGATAAGAGTTCACTCGCAAAGTCGCATGAGCAAAGGATCCCATGTTTGTAATAATTTCTACTGACGTTAATCATGGAAGTTTGGGAAGGGTTGTCATAAGCAACAATATGGACAAATTATGCGCTTCACCATATACTTGAATGATTCTAAGAAACGGATACCAGGCCAGTAAGAATTAAGTAGGATTTATGCTAAAGAGGCGAGAGATGGCGATCCAAGGTAATCCATATGAATTGTAGTCCTATTTGTCACATATTCAGCCAGCACCACATGATGACTGTTGCTTCAAGCACCTAACTGATTGTTCTGAGTAAAATATCCAAAAGTGAAGGATGACTACAATTTACGGCAATCTGGCCCACATTTAATGGCTGCATTGCCCAGGGGAAGAGCCTCAAATTTTTCCTTGATACATATTCTGTAACACTACTGGTTATTGTAATGAAAAGCCTAATTCACCAAATCAAAATTGAGTGCAACAAAATCGGATTGTCAAACATCAGAAGAGATTCACAACAAGCAATTAGGGATCATGAATACAAGAAGGCAACATTTTCACGTGGTCGTGGAAACAGCAGCCTAGGGCATACCTGCATTCCCTTCTGCATTGATTGTTGCTTCTTTGTGCCCATTCTAGAAATCCTACAGTAAGAAAACTTGATAAAATAATGCATAACATATCTCTACAAAAGTTTCTCTAGAAGATAAGATGATGCTTCTACCTGTATTTTAACTCATTTAGAAGATCCTCAGCTTTAGAGAATTTTCCAGTCTTTGCTAAAGCCCAGACGGTCATTACATCAAGGTGCCACTCTATATTCCAATTTGCCTAAACAAGTCGTGCGTACATTCATAAATTGCAGAATTGAAGTTATTTCAACATTGTACTTTTTTCTTTTTTTTTTGGCCAAATTTCAACAATGGACTTGAAGCACTATATAAAAGCCATATGAAAAGCATCATTAATGGACATGGAAAAGATACGTCTCAGAAAAGTAGTAACTTGTAAGAGAAAAATACATTTTCACCAGCGATTCATAAAATTCCTTAATAACTTAAAAATATCCTGACAGAGCTGTATCTTTTAATCATAATTTTTGGCATCTGGTATTTGCACCCCCCATTACAAAATCTTGATTTACTGTAGAGACATAAAATTCCATGTTTCATACCACATTGTGGAAATATCATTAATGATAAAAACAACGATTTCATTTTAAAGAAGTTCCAGTCCGAGATAGAATCCTAACAAAAATCAAGGTTCTCCTGATAGAAAAAGTTACAAAATAAAGTTACTTCATTACTAAACTTGTGTCAAGTCTACCTTCTCATGGGACAAAACACCCTAACACCTGTATATCACCCAGGACCATAGTAGCTGTTCCATCACCAAAGCAATGGTTACTACGGTTCACTGGTTGTGCTTAACATGTTTCTGTGATCATCTATTGAATGAGTGCAAACAATTAGTGAGTTAGACCTAAATCTAGCCAGGGACTTAAAAATTGGTTTAGAAACCTGAAACTTTTAACAAGCTTATTTCAAATTATTTCTTACGCTTCAGACACTTAAGCTTCTATACATAACACATTTGGTCCATGTTAGCAAAAAGTTTTATGCTTTAAAGCGTCATCAGTCCTAGACTACATGAAGGCACACACGATAATAGCATCAAAGATACGCAGGCAACAGTATTGGTCCTTCGGTATCTGCTTTGTTAACCACTTTGACACTAAAAGATACTATGGACACAAAAGTGTTTAGTAGACCTTAGAACTTCTGATGTAAAAACTTTAAATAGGATTACCACCTTTGTTTTCATATTGGAATTGTAAAAATTTTAGTAAAATTATTTTTGAGATCATTACAGTATTCCAAATTTTACAAGAACCCTTCTAATTTTCAATACCAACACAAATTTCCCCGGCACGAATCCCCAAAGAAACTGCCATGGATTTTCTTGAGTGTTCACACTTTCTCTGTTCAATGGAGGTTTATGTAGAATAAGGCAATGAACTAGAGGTTGATGTAAAGATCCAGTTCAAGGTTGCAAAAGGAGGTCTACATAAATTCAAAAAAAGTCCGTGACAAAATCAAGTATTGCATTTTGAAAATTATAAATGTAGAATTTTTGGGAACTCACTTGGTCACTTAGGCATCCTGCTAGTATCTCGAGACGATCCCCAAGGACATCAAGCTCACCATGAACATGCAATCGCAAAAGAAGACCCACAGCATTTAAGTAAACCTATGCGCAGATTAAGTTAGAATTGACAATAAAAGGAATGAAGAAAATTTAAAGCTATTGATTGCAGTAAAGTCGGCCAAATAATATACCTCTCCGGCAGCATCAGCTCTTTCTAACTCTTTCCATATATGATGGTCATATAACTCAAGGACTCTTTGTGCTGGGGCATTACCTTCTAAATAACAAAGTGCTACATGCCACCAATTGTGGGTCAGCCTGGAAAGAAAAAAAAAAAAAAAGTTCTAGCTCACTATGACAAAGTGGGATGAAGCTTTGTAATAATGAAAAATATGCTTACATAAATGACAAACAAGAATTCCATGAAGACGCACATCCTTCCATGAACTGAACTGCTTCTTTAAATTTACATTCATACTGAAAAACATGGCATAACTGCAGAACAAAATTTGATGGTTTCAATAGTCATGTAGGTTATAACTAATTAGAGGTTCTTGAAGCAAATACACTTGACAGTAACTTGTGTTTATATATGTTACTGATTATAAATAAATTATATCTGAAACAAAAACATGAAATGATTGCTCAATCAATGACTGAATTGCCGGTGATAATTGAAGCCTAGGTGCCTAGCAAGCAGGAAATTTAATTTCCAGAGCACTGGGGAACCTATTTATAACGTTTGGATATGACAAATATGAACATTTTAGAATTGTTAAGTGCTGTACAGGATGTGTGTTAGTATTTTGTATAAATAGTTTCCTATGGTCTTGACAAATTCGATTTCCACAAGCAAAATGCCGCCTCATTGTCAATTGAGTAGCATGGGAAAAGGAAGCATGTCCTGTATAATAATGACACGGTAAAATATTTCTAATGTTTAACAAATACATCAACCTACAGCATGCTGCGCCCAGACGTCTTCTTATTGATTTCAAGTCCCCTTTTGGCAGCTTTCTCAGCATCTCCATTTGTCCAACCTCTAATAAAGCAAAAGAAAGCATGCCGTATACGTAATTATCTCCTTCATTTTCAGGAAGAACCTGCACAACTTAGAAGCATAAGGAATTGAAATGCCCTTGAATAGATAAATGATGTACTCCTCCAGTCCTAAATATAAGACCCACTTTGTACAAAGTGGGTCTTATATTTAGGACTGGAGGAGTAATTGAAAATCATCTAGGATTAAAGAATTAAATATCTGGATTAAAGAAGAGTGTGATTTCCAGTGAGCACTAGGCAGCAAGCACAATGGGTTTGGTACGGTAACTTAGAATGGTGGTGGAAAGATAGTGTTTGAAATAGCTAGGGGGATAGGGGGAATATGAATTTATCCACCAGGCACGAGATTCATAGCCAATTTCAATTACTTGATGCAAATGAAACAGAACAAGCAAAAAACCAACAGAATACATTCTGGTTTGGTGATTCATTCTCGACCTTTGTGCACTTCAATTTGGTACGAGTCATAAAATTCAGTTCTGTACTATATGTCAAATGTTAATAAAAAAGCTATTATATATCTATATTGGCAATTTTTCCATTTCTTTAAACATGATGAAAGATTGCTGCTAATAACCCAAGGTTTTCATATTCCACCTAAAAAGGTGCAAGAAAGTTTTTCATGACCAATGAAAAAAAAAATTGCTGTTTACATGAAAATTGTTGCAGAAAGAAGCAAAACCGTTTCAGATAAGAAAATAAACTGGCGAATAAGAGACAGAAAAAGATCAGGTTGACCCATGTAGAAGCACAGAACTTGAGCTCTCTTCAGGG